TAATAAAAAATAGCTGAAAACCTTCTGTATTGTCTCGAAAAGAATAAATTCTATCTCCAAGAGTATGAGATATATAACGTTTCTATCTCTCTCTCTCTCTCTCTATATATATATATATATATATATATTTCTAATAACTAGATATTTAATTAAATAATATAGGAGTTCCAGTGGAAACTAACTATTTGTATAACTAGTTCATATATATCTTTGTTTTAACAAAAATAAGCTTATTGAAAATGTCATACATCTGGAAATTTTCGCCTTAATTTATAGACATGTTAATGACTTAATTAGTATAAATAATCCTGAAATAAATAATTTTATTAACACTATTTATCCGATAAAATTGGAAATTGAATATACTTCAATTTTTGAAGTAGAAGAATATTATTTAGATGTATAATTTAAAATAATTTGTCATGATATTAAATATTTTTGGTAAAAGAAAATTTTATTTTTCAATATACGGCCTACTCTCTCCTAATAGTAATATACCATTCTTCTTTTTTAAGTGTTACAAGTTCTGTAAACCTTGTAATAAATCATGATATTTCATTACTAATGCAGAAATATTGATACAAAAATTTATATTTAATAAATATAATAAAGAAACATTAAATAAAAATATTAAAATATTTTTGTATTAAAGGAAAAAACGACCATTGATGTGAAATTACACTACCCCAAGTCTTAATTTTCAGAAACCACCGAATAACATTTTCCCACAATTCTAGCTTCGAAAACATTTTTTTCAAAAATTGAAAAATAGTAAAATTATTATTTACCAACGCTTTATGTAGTTTGCGTATTGTTCTATATCCATATATCGATTTTTACGATCATAAGCTTAAAACAAAAGTAGTTGTAAAGAACTTTAAAGTAACTGTGCAAAAACTCAGTTATTTCTTTAAAGTTTATCGTAAGTACCAAATATTATTGGTAGAAAGAGTTGACCGCAAAATTCGAATAGATATGTTAACAAGATTCAGTGTGTCTACTATTCATATCCAGAGGAGTGATAGCACGGAAGAACGATATTGTTCGACTTCCAACAGTTCTACTTGGTGGTGGTATCTTTCAGGTCTGTCAAGATAGGAGGTGCGCCACAGTTAACCAAAGTCTTGAGATGATTCCATAGCCAAAACTCACCATTAGCGAGGTCTGGAAATTGGTACTTGTCAAGAGTGTGGAAGATAAGTGTTGATTACTCGATCCCTTAAAATGTTTTTCAGCAGTGTCTTAACAGTTCTTGCAATGTGTGGTGGAGCACTTTTATATAGTTTTTTTTTATATTATTCTTCGTGAGACGAAATGGTTACGTGTTCCAAAATGGACCAGAAGTGTCCATTATCACAAATTCATTATTCATGGGTTCCTCACAGAAATGAAGTCAAATGAAGAATTTGCTCCCGAATGCAATTTGCATTGTATCTTATCATACAGTTGCACAAAGACATCTCTATTATGAGTGTTCAGTTGGCTGAAGAGTGAAAAAGTGAGCCTCAGTCAATAATATTTTTGTATGGCCAAATGTCACCGATTTTTAGTCGAGCCAAAAATCAGACTGCAAAGTCCAGTGTTTTTTACACTTTCTGGTAGCAGTTCAGAAGTAATCTGCAACCTACGGGGATACGGTCTCAATGTCTTACTCGTGACTTTCCATACTGATCATTGTAAGGGTATGATGCACTTGGAAACTTGATTATACCGCAATTCCTCTTCAATATTTCTTTCTTCAATAATAACAGCCTTTTAACTTCCACTACTGGTGTTGTGGGGCGCCATTACGAGCTAAATCATGAACCACCCATGTTTCTTTATTTTGTTATCAGCTTCTGATAAGTCTCATCGTTGTACGATTCTTTTCGTTAGCGTTTATGTTGCTTCAGCAATACTTTAAAAAAGAAATTCTAGCCTTTAAAGAAACTCTGTTAAGCGCCATTTCTTAAGGCAAATGAATTAACGCATTTATGATACCGTTGATTTTTAAAGTTTTTATTATAGTATGCAAATTTCTTGAGGAGTGTTTCCAGGTTATTAACTTTTGACACTGCAATCACTTCATCGTCTTCTAAATATTAATTTTATTATGATGAGTTTTCGAAATATGGAGGTATAGAAGAAAGATGCAAAAACAGAAGAAATCACGTTATATTTTCAAGGATATCTAATAAGAATCATACAGTGATATTTTATCCTAATATATTAAAAGATCGCGTCCAGCTCCAGGTGTTCAGAAAGTTACAAACAGTAAAAGGTTTAGCTATATTTCTTTCAGTTACTTAAATAGAATAAAATAAAACGCAAACCAAACAAATAAGGGATATTATAATAAAAGGAGTTTACTGAGAACAAGATAACTCCATTTACACCAACATTTCTGTTATCGTTTACTGGGAAACTCGCTTGTGACAAACATGTTCATCTCAAATATGTAATTTCTAGAGCTTTGGTTTTTGCCTGGTTTAGAAAATACGACTAAACAACTTATAATTAATAGTATTTTGGTATTGGCGTTACATTACATTATACAACACGTGGGTTAAACGGTCAAGTCGTCGACCTTTAAAGTTCAGACAGTCATTCTTAATTTAAGAATATACACCACAGGAAGGATAATTACTCAATAGCGAGGTTTATTCTCACAGTATAACGCTGACACAACTGAAAGTACCGGTAGTATGTTACGTAGTATATTTCGGTTCGAACGGAGACCTTCCTTCCAATACTAGAACACGTCCAGTCCTTTATAATTGACATCAAAAACAATCTACAGCTGGAAGTTATTGACTGCCCCAAGTTATATTTCATTCCCCTTCGGGGAATGAAATATACTTTTGACCTAAATTCCTACCATGCTTGGATTGAATATACAGCTGATCAACCTAACAGCAACTTTTAGGGAAGTACGTGTACACAGCATGATTTCTAAATCGTATCCTTATGCGCAAACAAAACAGGCACATGTGTCATACAATGTCCTGTTTAAGTTGTTTTAATAATACTGAAATAGTGGCTCACCATTAGTGGAATAAAATAAACGCAAGTCACGTATGAAATGGCAACACGCCATTACACCTTCCTGACTCAACTGTTCTGTCCAGGAATGGGTGGGCGTTATTCAGTTTCATTATGCTTTGCTTCAAAGCAACTTTTTTTTTTTTACTACAATACAATTGTATGTTTGTTTTCCAAAAATTAAGCTAACCTTAGTAACTTACATTACAATGATAAACATTGCAAGTTAAACTATTGGCATGACAGAATATCTGCTATGCAAGTTACAAATGTAATTATATGGCACAGACAAATGGAGAGAGGTGGTGCACACAATTTGACAGTTGAAAATATATATCTTATCTTAACTTTAAAAGTTACAAAGTTGCAATTACAAAGTTAGCTTACATCTAGAGTTAGTGACTAGTAGCGAATTTCCCTAAAAAAGTATTAAGTTTAAGTATAGTTTTTATTTTATACGAATAAATTATTTGAAGATAGCTTTTATATGCGGAAACATCTGTTAGCAGAGTTCTTGCACAGATCTTAAAATATAATGTTGATAAACGGAAACAACGGCACATGTAGATACGTAGATCTTGAAAGTCGAGTTGTTCAAAACTTGAAAATAGTGTTGATAACTTATTAATAAATTATTTCTTAAAGCGAAATTGTATCGAGATCGCCCCTAGCGGTAGCAAATGCCTATAATTCAGAAGTTTTCTGGATCGTTCTCAACTGGGCAAATAGTAACACTAACTTCCTGTTTAAAAATATATACTGCTTTAGTTTAATAAAATCATTGCTCTGCGAGATTATAAAAAAAGAAACATAACGAGTTCAAACAACTCAGCTAAAAATAAATCACTTCACAAATACGTGAACTATACAACGCTCTTGACTTACTTATTTAGATCTGGGAAAGTTGTAGAATTCAAGGTGTGGAAACGCTGTTGTTTTGCACTGTCGTTTTTGCATTTAATGAAATTAAACATAACTGTTGTGTATTTTCTTTATAATCATACAAATAAACTACATATAGTAAAGAAAGGTAATGTTTAGTGTTCTTCCACAACAGTAAAAGTTAAATATATATAATACCGTATCTTGCCTTTTTTATTGTTGTTTCACCTAATAGTAACACAAAACATTTATTTTCTTAAATCAAGATTTTTACATCAGTAATAATTAGTGATTGTAGAGCTTCATATCGAACGCCTCGAGTTGTAGAATTATCATTATTGTTTAAAAAATAAGGTTATCGTGGTAATGTATTTTTAATTTTACGCTCTCACCACATTATAACATTTAATCACTGATATTTTATCGTAACTAACAAAAATAACAAAAAAAAATTCTTACTTTGTTCCAACTGACTTCAGAAGTGTGTGAAACACTAGTGACAACAAGGGAGACGAATCGTTATTCTGCACCGAAACTTCTGCATTTAACTATCAGGATTATGATGACTATTACGCAAAGTAACGCGAATGAGTACAATATACTACTACCTCAGTACTTGCACAACTTGGGAAGTAACGAGGTTGCGAAAGTTGCACGTGATAAGCAACACACCCTGCTTACTAGGTGACGTCATAGGTTGCAAAAAAGTGATATTCTTATTATTCAGACACTTAATAAAATGAGGTAGCAAACGACGGCAATCGCCAAAAATGGAAAATTTAATGTATAGAAGTTGTATGGAGTAACGTTTTTACCTGATTATGTTATTCGTCTGTGATCACTCATATATTGTAAAGTAATGATTTATCTGAACTTCTAAACAACCACCATGGAGGCGGAAGCTTTTGATGTGAAACGTCATATCCCTACTTTCCTATATTATCTTTAGGAATAAATGTTGATGATTTCTCAAACTATTACTGCAGGTTCAAGCCAAATCTTTTCAAATGTTACCATCGTACCATTAAAAATATAAACATTTTAAAGTTCGTTAGCTGAAACAAATGCCTAAGCTAGTCATTTTATTTCGCACTTTCATCTGAAAAATATTTAATATTTCTATTCTCACTTTTTTAATTCTAATAAAAGTGACCAATATATTTTTGAATCTTAGATATTTGACCAGTATTTTTTTATTTAAAAATACTATCATATTAAATCAGATGTCAAATTTTAGCATATATTTGTATGTTATTGTTTAACGTCTTTTTCGACATCTGAAGACACTAATGTTTATTACTTAGTTTATATTTTGTCAAAATCACCACGGAAAGCTATACGAGGGTGATCTGCGCTAGCCATTCCTAATTTTGCAGTGATAAACTAGAGGGAAGGACTACTCTTTCACCAACGATGTTCAAGTGAATTACTGTCTTTCACTTTCCTTTAGGGACGAACTAGATTAAGTTGAGATTCAGCGTCTTGTTTTGCGTCTGATTTTCTAGCTTGAATAACAACTCTGTTCTTAATTAGTGAGGCGAGTCATTCTTGTTGGGGAATCAAACAATAGTTGGGAGTGGACTTGTCTTTGATCTTCACTGTCAGTTGGCCAGTTGATCCAACAGGTGCCAATCACTGTTTTCTTATGTCAGAAACTTGAGAGTATTGAGACTAAATTTTTATATAGACTTTGCATAGAATATCAGATGATTTTTCACATAGATTTATGCAAAAATTATATCTTGTCGTATATATTACACGCACTGACAAGAGGTCTCTGATTTTTCATTAAAGTGCTCTTCAGTTTTTGTCAGTCACTTGACTCGCAATCTGAAGGTCGAGGATTCGAATACCCGTCTCACCAAACATGCTCATCAGTGGAAGCGTTATAAAGTAACGGTCAATCCCACTATTCGTTGTTACAAGAGTAGCCCAAGAGTTGGCGGTGGGTGGTGATGGCTAGCTGCCTTCCTTCTTGTCTTTCACTGCTGAATTAGGGACGGCTAGTGCAGATAGCCTTCATGTAGTATTGCGCGAAATTCAGAAACAAACAATCAAACTTGTTAGTCACACACTAACACACAGGATCACTTGCCCCGTATTTTACTGTTTATCATATTTCTCCACTGTGTATTGTTTGTTTGTATTGCTAATTGTGAAAATTATCATTAACAATTTGTTTTGTGTATTAAATTGTGTCGAGTCTCTTTTCTTGCAACTCGTTAGAAAATCTACTCTTGAACCTGAGATCCGAGAACCTCCATTTATCAGCGAGCTCAGTTTTTTGCTTTGCTGGTCATTTGCGAGATACCACAGAATTCAAAACAAACTAATGCCAGAGAAAAAAGTCAATCTACAAAATACGTTTATTTCGTGTGTTTTTTCCACATTGATTTGGTTTATAGAAAATATATCTGTGACTAAACACTAGGGTTACAGAATATTGAAAAAATAGCAGACGAATAGATTGTAAAATTTGATTAGATGTAAACATACTTAATGTTGTCTTTGTTTATTTGTTTTGTATTGTAAGCGCAAAACTACAACAGTGAACTGTCTACGATCTCCCACTGCAGGCATCGAATCCCGATATTTTTATTATGAACAATCAACTCTCAATGTCATCACTAGCCCACCAGGAGGTTTAATGCTATAGATGTCTATGCTTGTTTGTATTTAAACGCAAAGCTACACAATGGGCTGTCTGTGATGTGCCCACCACGGATATCAAAAACTGGTTTTTAGCATGTAAGCCTTCAAGCTTACCCATGGAAGCTGAAGTATATTTTTGCCTTGTTTGTTTGTTATCCGCCCTTAATCCAGAAGTGATAGACTAGAGGTAAGGCAGCTAGTCAACATCATCCACCGCCAACTCCTGGGCTACTCTAATTGAATTGTAGGATTGACCGACACAATATAATGCCTCTACAGCTGAAATGGTGATCAAATTTGTGATGGGATTTGAATCCGCGACTCACAGATTGTGGGTCGAGTGCACTAACACCAAGCCATGCCAGGTGCTGTAGATGTTTAACCATTGTTTTGATAGCATGGCAATGTTATCGAAGTGATAACATTACAAAAAGAAATGTTTATAAATACTATATTACACTTAAGTTTTTATTTCAATGTAAAACGTTTTACTTATAAGCATCAATATAGATACTTAAATGGAAATAAAAATTTTAGTAAGATTTTAATGAAATTTCAGTGACTAGTAAACTTTGTTAATTTTTTAGTGTCATAAAACATTTTCAACTTAATTCCAACAGTAGTCACAAAACGATTGTCAAAATGGTCTCAACCATAGTAACATTTGATCAAAAAAAGAATAATTGCCGTTATTCACACTGTTGGAAAAATGTGTGATAAAAAGACAGTATTGTTGTGTCAGCGAGGTCACGTGACTAGTATCACGCCACCCCTTTCTAGAAATATCCTGTTTCTTCAAGAATGCCCTAACATTTACTAGATATGTGTTAGTCTTGTATATATAAGACGTTCACAACGTGACGGGACAACA